AGAGAAAGCAAAAAGAATCAAACTATTAGATAAATAATCAATGTATTTGAATTCATACTTGGGGTAATTTGAGTACATTACGTTTTTTCTTATTATAATGATATTGATCGATTTATAATCTGAAGTAATTTTTTTTTGTTGCCTCCAGTTCCTTTACCTTGATTAATCTGGATCGATCATGGTCCCACACCTAGCTTTGGTAGGTGAGTCTCCCAGCAAGGATTTTCTGCATAACAAGGACTTGAACTTGAGACATTGCTTAATTGATATCAAGTTGCTTACCACTTAAATCAACCCCAATTTATTATAATATGAAGTAATTGACTATTAGGCAACTAATCAATGTTTCTAAGCTAATGTTTGAGGATGATTTGATAAACAATTCAAGTTATTCATGTTTTGTATCTTCTTTAATAATTTTCTATTAAAATTTTGTATATATATTTGTTGTGTATTTATAATCAAGTTATGTATGAACGAAGTGATCTCGTTGTTTTTATTTTTTGAGGATCCGAGTTCGAGCACCGTTTTGTATTTATCCCAAATTAATAATAAAAAAGATCTAATTATGTATTTGTGTAATAATTATTTTTAAAAAGTTATATTTATTTGAATTTTAATATATTTAAATTTTTTTATATAAATTTATGACATATTCATATTGTTTTTAATCTTTATGTCATAGCACGAATCAAGTGATCTCCGTGGTAAAAGAATTATTTTTATTCCTTGAGGACTCGGGTTCAAGTACTATAAATATCAGGGGTGTGAGCGTAAATGTCAAAAGGTTATGAGAATTATTTTTGAATAGATATTGTTTTATATTTATCCCAGATTAATAAAAAATCATGTCATAAAATCATTCGTGTTATGTTTGTGCATATTTTGTATTATTTTTAAATTTATTGAATAACTTCAATAGTAAAAGAGAGATAGTAGACTAGGTTTTATACCTACATGTAAGAAAAACAATAATTAAGAAATATTTTGAAAAATATTATTTTTATTTTGATAAATATGAGAAAGTAAAAGAGTATATGTTCAATGATAACTCTCAATCATTTGACATTGAACGTTCACACCCTTGTATTCTTATTTTTCGAATTTGAAGTCTCAAGAAATAATAACAAATTTTCTATCACCGAGATCACTCGGTTTGTACTAAAGATATTAATTTTTTGTTTTGACAATTGAAAGATACTATCATATAATTTTAAAATATATTTTCGAAACATAAACGATAGTATTCTAATATGTCTTGTGAACAAGTTGGTGTGATTGTTATTCTTCAAGTTTGGTCCCACGTCTCTCTCTCTTATCCTAATTAAACATAAACGGATTATAAATTCATTCTCTGTGTTCAATTTTGAGAAACGTATTTGAAAACAAAAGCATCCGATGCAAGCCACATAAGAAGTGACACAATAATAAATCATGTGTTGATACACCGAAGCGAATCTTTCATTTAATAAACAACTATGCAACGGTCATATCAACAAAACCCTTAAAAGGTGCGATTAGTTCAAGAAATATAAGATTACCAGTGAAATAAAATATTATCAGAGAATAAGATTACTGAGAATGTTATATTTTGTGTTTGGTTGGTTTAACAGGAATGTAAGATTACCGTGTTTGGTTAAATGAATAAAAGATTATTATAATGTATATTTGATCAAATTGTCCTTATTATATATTTATTTTTTAACAAGTTAGAAAATATTTATATATTTTCTTTAAAAAATTTAAATTCATAAAATTTATATATATTTTTTTACAAAATTAAAAATATAAAAAAGTTTAATGAAAGGGTAAAATTTTATATGAAAATTTTATTTTACATCTGAACTTCATATACAATTTTAATTATAGGTTTTTTTTGTAAATCTAAAATAGTTTAAGGATAAATTTGTAATTTAACCTTCGTAGAATTTTTATTATTTAATGACAGAATAAAAAAATTTGAAAGAAATTTTTTTAAGGGCATTTTAGTCCAAAACGCCGGTAATCTAACAATACCTAAGAAAAAGGGTAATGACATTCCCGATAATATACCCCCAAAAATCTACTATTGGTAATGTAATATTACCAGAAATGACATTCCAGGTCAACCAAACGGGGGAATGTGAATTTTATTCGCATGGGAATCTCACATTCCCCCAACCAAACACACTCTAAGTCTCTACGTTTTGACACTCTTCTCCTAGTCCATTCAATTAATTAAGGTGGTGTTTGTTTTTGCAGAGGTAAAAGGTCTGCAGTCTGCGGACCACATCTGCAGGCATATGCAGCAGAAGAGGTGGACCAAAAGTCTCCACGAAGAAGACTGTTTGTTTTTTAACTTCTGCAGACTGCTAAAATAAACTGATTTTTTAAACTTAAAAGAGTTTTGCAATACTGAGATTTAAATAATTTTAGTTTTACAATACTGAAATTTAAATAATTCATACAACTACAATAATAAATTTTTTAGAAAAACAAACACCACCTTATTAATTCTATTATAAGTCTCACATATCACATGTATTATTAGTTTTATAAAATAAAATTTATAAATAATCATTAAATTATATGATTTTTTAAATATGGAATTATGTAATACTTTTAATTTTTTTTAAATATATATTCATAATTTATTTTTATAATTATATGATATTTTTAGAAAATATTTTTTAATTTATCAAATTATTTTATAATTATTTTTTATTTAATTGTGATTATATTTTAAAATTTTAAAAACATAATTTATAATTTTTTATATTTTATATTTTAAAATCTTAATTATCAAACAATGAAATCATTTTTATTAAGCAATGTGGTTTAAATACTTACATTTTGTATAAAAAAGTTTAAATATAATTTAAAAATAACAAATCCAAAAAAATATTATATTTAAAATTAAATAAAAATAATTAAAATAAATATAAATTTTAATAATATATAAAATAATTTATATGATATAAAATTAAATAACTATAATATAATATTAAAAAATTAATATTTAATTTATTTAAAAAATTAATATTAAAATTAAAATCAAATATAATATAAAATTAAATATAAAACCTCTTTGAAGGGGTTAGAAGACGTCTGCAGATATAAGACCACGTCTGCGCCGCGCAGACCACGCGCAGACGTTAGAAGAGCTTATGTCTTCTAAAAAATAAACGGTCTGCGAAGCCCAATGTCTGCGAGTGGTCTGCGCAGTGCAGACATAATAGCGTTGCAGACCTTACACAATAAAAACAAACACCACCTAACTATACTGCTACTACTGCCGACATCGATAGCATCGTCGTTTGCCAGTTATGAGTAATTGAAACGGGACCACTGGTAAAAAGTTAAGTTTTTATCTTTCACCAACATAAAAACCGTAATTCATCTGGGCGCACGATATGTTTTCTTTGGGTGCATGATAGCAGGACTATCGGACCCCTGTTTCTCATCTCGTCGCCGACGCTCCCTCCGATTTTCTGTCTGATTACGTCCTCTTCTGTCCCTTCTTCAACCTGGTATGGATTGGAGAAAACTTTTCAGGTGTCAAGCCAATCAAGAACTTTCCTATTTTCCCCCAAATATGACCAAAGAAACCCTAATTATTCAGCCTCTTCCTAAGGTCATCGAAGCTGGAACAGCAGAGTGGAAATCTTCTCTGGTGGGGCAGTTAAATAGGTGCAACCCTAAATTTCATCACTTTGCAACGAACAATTGAAAAACTATGGAATCATCATTCTTAAGGGGCTCGAGAACAGGTTAGTTTAGCTGAAAATAATTTGTACATTTTCTCGTTAAGTTCTGAATCAGCTAGGGAATGGGTCCTAGAAAATGGCCCTTGGCATGTACTTAACAAACCGTTAATTCTTAGAAAATGGGAACCCAATATGCAAAGACTGAATTTCGATTTATCAAGACTGCCACTGTGGGTTCACCTCTATAATATTTCTCTTGAACTATTTTCAAAGGAAGGCCTTAGCTATATAGCCAGTGCTCTAGGAGTTCCTCTTTCCATGGACTCAATCACTGCTTCTAAATCTAGGCTAGAATATGCTAAGGTATGTATTGAGATAGGGGTTAATGATGAACTACCTAAAACTATTGAAGTGATGCTTGCTAATGGTACTACTACTACTGTGTATGTTAAAATTCCTTGGTTTCTAACTAGATGTAGGAGATGCAACACTTTTGGTCATTCAGAAAAATAATGTTTAGTCAAAACGTCCTCAGCTCCCTTTAATACAAAAATCTGGAGGATAAAGAACAATCACAATAATAATTTTGTCCTTACTGCTCAAGATAAACCAGAATCTTTGCAAATTCCCCTGATATTTTCTTCATTGAAATCTTTAATACCAGAATCTTCCTCAAAAATTCAGACTGTTCCCAAAGGAAAAGAACATGATAATGATTCTGGAATTTTTTTCTCCAAAGCATAATGATCATTCTTCTAAATGTGTTGCTCTTATTCCATCTTCTATTTCAATTGAAGACACTACTGATAAATCTATTAACCCTCCTTCTAGTGAGGAATATATTAATGATGACCATTCTGATCAGCTCCCTAAAATTTCCTCAAAGATAAATGATCCTATCATCATTCCTAAACGTGGTAGAGGAAGACCACTTAAGATCAAGTCTAATTATGTTATAAGAGGTTCAACTAACAGATTTGAAATTCTCTCCACAATGGATGAAAATTCACCATCTTCAAAGATTCAAATCAGGAAAACAAGGCATGCTGCTACTGGGGTAGCCAAACTTATCAAAGAGCTCAAATCTAAAAAGAAAGACCATCTCAGTAAGATCAACAATACCTCTGATAAAAATATAGAGGGTCATTCCTCCTCTATTCCTCAATGATTATCTCTTTCTAGAACATAAGAGGATTCAATAATCCTCAAAAACAAATTAAGGTTCTGAATAGAGCTAACCTCTATAATGTTGATGTACTATGTCTGTTAGAAACCAGAGTTAAACCTAAAAATTTTGAGAAAATTTTTCACTCAATGCTAGGGAATTGGAATATCCTCAATAACTATGATTCTGTTGTCAATAGAAGAATTTGGCTTCTCTGGAAGAAAGGCATTGACCTTTCCCCTTGCCACTCAAATGATCAAAGTATTACTGTTAAATGCCTTACTAATACCACTACTTTCTTTATCACTGCCATCTATGGCAGTAATAGTGGTTCCCATAGAAGATCTATTTGGCAACACGTCAGAGACCTTGACTCCATGTATGGTTCTTTTCCTTGGATTTTGGGAGGTGACTTCAACACCTATCTTCACTACAAAGAAAGCTCTGATTTCAATCTTCTTGGCCTTTATTCTTCCTATGATATGCTTGACTTTCAAGAAGTTGTTCAAGACCTTTCTCTTCAAGATCATCCATTCTTTGGCCCCACATTTTCTTGGATCAACAAGCAAAAAGATAATTACCTTGCTAGAAAATTAGATAGGGTGTTAATTAACCCTCCTTGGACTTCTTTATTTCAAGACTCCTTTGTTGAGTTTTTAGCCCCTGGTCATTCTGATCACAATATGGCTTTGGTTTGGACTTCCAAAAAAACTCAAATCAATAGACCAAAGCCTTTTAAGTTTTTTAATTTCTGGACCAAACATCCAAATTTTCTTGATGAAGTTCTTTACTCTTGGTAGCAACCTATTCAAGGCAACCCAATGCAGAAACTCTTCCTTAAACTTAAACGTTTAAAGCCTTCCCTGAAGAAACTTAACAAAAATAATTATAGTGAAATCTCGACAAGGGTTAGACTAAAGAAAATTGAGTTGGAAACTGTTAAAATTTATACCCTTAATGGGCAGAATTCTATTGCAGAAGAACTAAAGATCCAAAAAGAGCTAATTTCCCTTGAGGAATCTGAATACATGTTCCTAAAACAGAAAACAAAAGTTAGATGTATTAAAGAAAGAGACAAATGCACCAAACTTTTCCACTCTACTATTGCCTCTAAATTCAAAAGAGATATAATCAGGGTTCTAACTAACAATGAGGGCAAAAGATTAGATTCCTTTGATGATATGGCAAACGAAATCATAGATTACTTTAAGAATCAATTAGGGACTTCTGACCCTAATGTTCTTCCTGTTGATTCTGCTCTCTTGAAGAATCTGCTCCATTTTTCTCTGCCTATTGAGACTGCTACTGAACTTACTAAGATAGTTACTGCTGAAGAGATTAAAGAAGCTTTGTTTAGTCAAGGTAATGATAAAGCACCAGGCCCAGATGAATTCACTCCTATGTTCTTCAAATATTCTTGGTCTGTGGTAAGGGATGATGTTATCAATGTTGTTGTCTTCTTCTTTCAATAGTCTAAAATCCTTTCTGTTTTCAACTTAACCATTATTGCCTTGATCCCTAAAATTCCTAATCCTAGCAAAGTTAAGGACTACAAACCCATATCATGTTGTTCAGTGGTCTACAAAATTATCACAAAATTCTTGTTAAAAGAATTTCTTTGCTGCTGCCTGATCTTATCACCCTCAACGAAACTGCTTTTGTGAAAGATAGATCTATTGTTGACAATACCCTTCTTGCTCAAGAACTGGTAAAAGGCTATGTAGGAAAAACATATCTCTAAGGCCTGCTGTCAAAATTGATCTACAAAAAGCTTTTGATTCTCTTAATTGGGATTTCATCTCCTCTATTCTTCTTTCCATTGGACTGCTATCCACCTTTATAGGATGGATTGAAGCTTGTTACATAAATGCAAGGTATTCCATTTCCTTTAATGGAACTTTAATAGGATTCTTCAAAGGCCAGAGAGGTATAAGACAAGGAGACCCACTATCTCTAACTCTTTTTTTGCTGGCTATGAACATTTTATCTAAAATCCGTAACCTTGTTGTTGCCAAAGGTATTTTTGGATTCCACCCAAAGTGCAAAAAACTAGGAATCACTCATCTATCTTTTGTTGATGATCTATTGATATTTTGTAAAGGAAACCTTGAGTCCATTGTTGGTGTTACCAGTATTCTCAATCACTTATATACCTTGTCTGGTCTCAACCTCAATGTCAGCAAGACTGAGTTCTTTACTGTTGGAATTTCAGCTAGAACTCTTGATTCAATCAAATCTGCCACTGGCTTTAAGCAAGAATTTTTTCCTGTAAGATATCTAGGTGTTCCTCTTGTCACTAGAAAACTTACTGAAACTGATTGTATTCCTCTCCTTAACAATATTAAAGCACGACTTCACCACTGATCTGGAAAATTCCTTAGCTATGCTGGACGACTTGAACTTATCAAAACTGTCCTCTATAGTGTTGTAAATTTCTGGTGTCAACAATTTATTCTTCCCCAGAAAGTAATCAATCGATTTGAGTAACTATGCTCTCGTTTCCTTTGGAAAGGATCGGATAAAGCTGCCAAAGGTTCCAGAATCAACTGGAACAGATTAAGCTGCCCCAAATCTGAGGGAGGTCTCGGCTTGAAGAATCTTAACTCTTGGAACAAGGCTTGCATGATTCAACTCATTAGAAAAATCATGGCAGGTAACAGATCTTTGTGGGTTGCTTGGATTCACTGTTATGTAATTAAAAACAGTGATTTAAGTGAAATCAATGTTAGTAATTCCTTTAGTTGGAGCATTATAAAGCTTCTTAAGCTTAGAAGAGAGGCCCTCCCTATTATTTATTCTGGAATCTCTAAATAAAAGACATATGGAAATAAATAAGGGAACATATAGACAAGGTACCCTGGCAGAAAATACTTTGGTTTCCTCTTCATGTTCCTAAACATAGTATGATTTCTTGGATGATTCTTCTTGATCGTCTTCCTACTCGGGATAGACTTTTCAGAAAGGGAATCACTACTGATCGTTTATGTATTCTATGTAATGAAGAACTTGAATCCAGAAATCACTTATTTTTTTACTGTTCTTATGCTTCTTCAATCTGGAGCTCTATCATGATCCTTTCCAGCATACGTGATAATTACAATGCATGGGATTCAATGATAGATGGTGCTATTCAAAAATGGAAGGGAAAATCCTTACTTTTCATCATTCTAAGAATTGCTTGGAACGCTTTTAACTACTTGATTTGGGAGGAAAGAAACAGAAGGATTTTCAAAAGTGGTTCAAGAACAACAAACCAAATTCTCCAATCTGTCAAAGTGCTTGTTCGTATACAACTTAGTGGTAAAGATATCAATAGATCTGATAATGTAAATTCTAATCTTTGTAACTATTGGGATCTTGATTAAACTATACTTTTTGTTGTAAATAGGGGTTTTTTTTTTCTTGGGATGTTTGTTGTTTGTTGAACTTTATTTTTAGATAATAAAATCTTACTTATTAAAATAAACAAAAAACCGTAAATAAATTACATAAAGTAAAAAAAAATTCTAACATTTGTTGGGCACAAATCCTACGCAGGAGTTGCCGAGATCGAAATCGACACGTGTCCCCTTCTGCTGCACGTTCCCAATGATTGACAGCGTGGAGGACGTAAGCGCGAACGCGAAACAGAAGGTTCCAACCGAATCAACCGGCATCATGTAATTCTTAGCCGGTAACGGTAGAACTTTACCTTCGGGGAAGTGAAACGACAGCGTTGGGACATCCACGCTACTCGTGGAAGACAAATTGTAACACGTGTCAAACAGTGCCACGTTGTCAGCTGACGGCAATCTCTTTGACCCTTTAACGAATGCGTCACGGAGAACGTTGTACGTATCGGTCTGTAACCGAGTCATAGCGGTCCCCGAGTCGATGATAATCCCACCGTTACCTGACTCGTCTATTTGGAAAACTGACTCGGGAATCGGAAGCAACTCGCCACCCACACTGACACCGGTCAAACCAAGATAGTAAAACGTGTCTAGCTGGTGGTTACGGAGTAACGGAGCTGTAATGGCGTTAGGAGGGAGAGCCGAGTCGAACTCCAGAGTGGAAGCGGAGTCAGAGTCACGATCCACGAGACAATAAGAGAAAGTACTCGCATTGAGCTGCGAGGAAAAGGATAGCGGCCCGCCGTCGAGACCAAGTAAGCCACCCGCCCCTACAAACAAGCCTTCGTTGTTATGGCCACAACCGATTGCTACATTATTGACAGAATCGGAGCCGAGGGTGATGGTTTCAGTGACAAAATCACCCACTGTGTAAGAGCCGTCGCCGTAGGAAACCTCGTAGACACAAGTGCGGTCGTTTCGACATTCGGAATCGTCGAGGTACTTTGTTGCGTTTCGCAATTCAGCGGCGAGTAAGAAGATGATAAAGATGGCTCGAAAATCGGGTCGGATTGTTGGTAACAATCGGTGCAGGGTGCGCATTGTACCCAGTTAACGTCACTGCCCGTGTCGAGCACCATGTAAACTTGACTCGGTGGTTTCCCGATTCCAACCCGAGAGAAGTACTCACCGCTTCCTTGACTCGAACCCGAGACAATAGGACTTATTGCAAGCCTTTCTCTAATCTGTTATAAAACCGAGAAGTTGCACTCACATTTGCCTCACTGAAGTCTAATCCAAATCCTTAACCCTTCCAAATCAATAATCAATATGCATAGCTGATCGAAAGTTGATTACGTTCAAACACTACACAAAATAATCGAAAATCAATCTCGTTCTTCAACTCATTTATATCAAATTAGAATAACTTGGGATGCAAGAAACTTTTACTTTCCATTTCATGCCTAGAAGTATCGGTACTACCCCTCCAGTACCGATACTTCTCTTCAAGGGTATCGATACCTCCTCAAGGTACCGATACCGAACTGGCATTCTGTAATTGCATCTTAAAAACAGTATCGATACCATCCCCTGGTATCGATACTACCCACACAGTATCGATACCCTCACCCCTGGTATCGATACTACCCACACAGTATCGATACCCTCTTCAACTGGTATCGATACTACCGTTAATAATTTCATAGATTTTTCCCTTGAAGTATCGTACAGTTCTAACGGTACCGATACTCGAAGCCCATAATTGCCATTTATACTTTGAAAATCACCCAAAAATCCTCTCAAAGCTATTATATCACCATTCCTTAAGCCTTTAAACTAAACTTCTTTAATTCAAACCAACTTGTCAACAATTACTACTCTTAAACATACCAAATTCTCACTAAAACACTTACATTTAAGAATCATGCCATGTTTTCAACCAAACTCTTAATCATTTATAATACTCTTAACCCTTTAATTAACTCATTGACAAGTCAAATATCTCAACAAAACTTAAAAAACTATTCCATATCAAAATTTCATTTCAAAACCCATTTTACAATTTCATCTCTAAAACACTCATCTTGTTGTTATGTACCTCTATAAACCTTTCTTATGGATATATAATACCCAAGCTTTCATTAACAAACCAAAAATTGAAGAACCCAATAACTCTTAAAAGAACTTACCTTTGATGGAGATAACGGGAAGAGAAAGAAGAAGAGAATATTAGTTTCCAGAAACCTTCTTATCCAATAACTCATGTTAAATATCTCTCCCAAAAAGAATTTTTAATTCAATCCATCAAAAAGACTTCTTTGCCCTTCAAGTCTTCCATCTTTGCTAAAAACCCTGAATATAATTTCCCAAAATTAATCCTTATACTTTTCAACTTAATATAATTTAACTACTAACTTTCCTTTCTTACCTTTTTGGTCACCAACCCGATGTTTGGGATGTTACATTTAAAATTTTAACTTTACTTAAGAAATCTAATGCAATTTATTTCATTCACAATAGTCAAGGTTCAAAATTTTAACTTTATTTAGATCTAAGATCTCATCTCATTATATCAATTTGTTATTGTTTGATAACATTTACTTTGATATATATATATATATATATATATATATATATATATATATATATATATATATATATATATATATATATATATTATAATATTTTTAAACGTTTTAATTTTTTTATTAATATATTTATGCTTCTTAAAAAAACTAAAGTCAAATTTATATGTTTTTTTGGTACAAATCAAATAATATTTTTAAAAGAAAATTAAAATTATATTATATTATTTTCAATGTCGAGACAAATAAAATTATATTCCATCCGACTAATTGTCATCTCTCGGTGTACCGTGTACATGTGTAACAAGTTTTAGTAATTTTGATTTTTTTAATGGTCTAATGTTGGGATCTTATACCTTCCTTAACATTATTTAATGTAGATAATATGTACAATTGTGATAATTTTTTTCGTGCATTCCATGTTAATTATTATGGTACGTAGCATCATTGGGTCCAAGTAGCTTTCTCTTTATTGCAATCAAACTTTTGTTAAAAAGAGGACCCTCGTTCGGTCCCTTTCGAAAAGGTAATTAGTGGTGGGCATGGAAGGCAACGTGAAAGTTGGGTTTCTGATGACATGGTTTAAAAATTACTCTCAATTACAATTTACAAAAACACTATTTTTATATCACGTTTTCTCTATACTTTTATAATATATATTTATACTCTTGTGGCACATTAATTTTTCTAGGGTTTTGAGGCTGTATCTCGTGTTTTGTTGAGTGATTATCTCTGCGTGTTTCCTATGGCGAAAGTAGAGGTGATATGGATGGTTTCAACCTTGGAATGAGAGGAGGACGATGTTTTATTTCCTGAGTCAGATGAAAGAGGTTCAACTATTTCTTTTGAGAAGTGTTTCGTGGATTTTTCCATCACCTCCAATATGATTAATTTTTAGGCGAAGTTAGCAATTAAGGGTATCGCAATTACATATTTAGGGGAAGGTTGCTTTCCTCTTTCGTTTGTATTATACATGGTATTTCAATTTCTATTTATTCATTATTCATTGGCTGAAGGAAAGAGAAGATCACGTGATAGTAGTAGTATAGACTGTGAAATTTTGGGATCCTAATTAGTTATTAATGATTTGTCCATTGATTTTATCTTAGAATGGGTTGCAAAAAAAGTTGGTTAATTTCATTGACAAATTCATTACTTACGACGCAGTAGAAATCACCCTTTGCTACAGAAGTTGTGTAAGGGTTTGTGTATGCATGAATATTTGTAAGCTTTAGTGCATTGATACGGTACGGGGATAGATACGAGGATGGAGACGGATACAAGAACTAATAATTTCTAAAATTGTAGGATATGAGTACGACAAGGGTACTGCAAATATAAAATAAATTTTAAAAAATTTAAAAGATATAAATGTGATAAATATTTATTATAGTTCATAGTAACTAATATTCATTGATAAAAGATAGAGACTATAGTGGATGTAAATCAAATCTGTACCATTTGAATTTAATCTATTCCTATTAAGTGAGAGGACTAAAGAATAAGTATTCCCATTTCTTTCGCAACAAGAGATGAAGTAGGATGTTCAAGAATTTGAAAGTCAAAGATTGGAACAATTAAATTTCGACACCAAAATTACTCTTCCAACTTTTTAGACCCGAAGAACACTTCATTATAAGAGAAATTAAATTCTAATTAAAATATAAAATCTTATCCTAATTTATTTGTATCACTTTTTTATAATTTAAATCTTAAAAATAATTTTGGTTATGCGTGTAAAAATAAATTATCGTCCTTGATACATACAAGAAAATCTTTCTGACGTACCCAATTAATTTCAGTCGTATTCCTTAAACATGGGACGTTCTCAGTATGTACCTAAGATGTACCGTCGCATACCCATATTGAGGACGTATCAGATATTTGATATGTCACTTAGTTGTCGTACTCGTACTACATAATTTGTAAGTTTTTGAAGTAGAAAAAGAAGTTGACTTTGTCAAACAATTAGGATGTTTATGCACAATTCCAATTCGAGAAGCTTTTAAAATATTTTAAAATGTTTTAAAATCTTTTAAATCATAAAAATACTATTCAAACACTATTTGATAATGTCCTGACACACTATTCATGCACAAACATTGTTCTTGAATAATGTGTTCCAACAATTTGATAAAATTTTGAAACTTTATCTTTACAATGCATTTTAATGTTTTAGAAAAGTCTCAAAATGACTATAGTTCATCCCAATGGTTATAAAATATTATAAACTTATTATCCAATATATAAATACTTCAAAAATGTTACTATATCTATCCAAGCTTAAAGATAAAGAGAAAATAACGTTCAATCTTTATTCTTTCATTTCTCTGTACATAGTGTATATAACTTAATTAAATATCTTTTGTATTCATTGTTTTGTAAGTTTCATCTTAGTAAATACTCACTTAGAGAGGTATCCATTATTTTCACCGATGGACGTTTAATATTACTGATTTATCTTTATTTTGAGTTTACTTTGAATATGAGCCTCATTGGATTAATTAACCCAACAACTAGTATATTTTGACGGTCCAATTAGCATCTTTTAGAAAATAATTAGAATTATTTTGAATATTTTATTTGGAATTTACTTGAAACAAGGTTCTCCAAAAGAAAAGCAAAATTCAACCAAGACTACAAGACTTAAATATTTACTTTTATCTTTTGTGATAAACCTTGTAAATTTAGGATTTTAATTTTATTATTTTTTATATATTTGTTTAGGAATTAGTTTTTTACTTAAAACTCTATGTAGGATTTTTAGTTTGATTATATTATTATCTTTTATTTGGGAATTGGTTATTTTATTTGCTTAAAACTCTTGGATTATAAATACCCCTTAGTTCAACAGTTGAAACTCTAATTGAAATTTATTTTTCCTTGATTCATTATTGAAGTTATGTTTTTCTTTCATCTTCATTTTTCTTTCTTTGTTTTCTTCGATTATTTTCTTTTCACAATGCTAATCATGATCCAATTCATGCTTAGTTTCCATGCTTAGCTAAACTTCCACTTAGCCAAAGGTTTTTGTGAAACTCAATTCTAATTGTGGGAATTGAGTCTTGATCTTCATACCGTCATATTGTATTCTTTAATTCTCTGGAAACTAAGAGTGGCAATAAATCATTCCCTTAAAAGTTATTACATTTTCAACTCAAAAGGTGCACGTTAATTTGAAGATTATTTTGTTTGAAGTTTGGAAGACGAATCGGCTGGTCCTAATTCAGCTTTTTCTGAACAAACTTAGTGATATCCATTAAGAGGAATCATGATCAAGTTCGATTCTCTATGAGAAACTATAACTCAAGTCGGGCTTTTCCAAAACTTAAAGCTATTTTGGATCTATTAGCGATAAACGTTGCTAGGATCGAATTTCAGAGATAGAAAATTTTAGTTAACTGGAGAGAAGAATCAACTGTAGGGGTGGGCCCTATATTGACTGTAACTAGCATAAATTATGAAGGGAAAATTTTATTTTGATGATCGGTCGAAATTGAGACTTAGGAAAACCTAAGGCTATATCATCTCTATTAAATTCTTCTATTTTATTTACTTTATTTATTTTCACATTATTTTTTATTCAGTATTGTTTATTATTTATTTACTTTCATTAATTTTAAAATCCCATCTCTTATTTTTTGTAGT